GGCGACACAACACCAACGCCAGGGCCACAAGCTGCGCGACGGCTACCTCCCGAACCCTCCACACCGGCACCCCCAGAAGGGACACCCCAGAGCCCGAAACACCGCCAGCACCGGTACCACCCCCAGGCCCGCGGGGACAAGCCACGACAGGAGCCCCGGGACGAGTACCCACCTCAACTCCAGCACCCCCAGAGTCCACAAACAGCGGCAGCGACGACGGCGGCGGCGGCGGCGGCGGCTGCAGCGACGGCCTCGACGGCGGCGGCGGCGGAGACGACGGCTGCAGCAGCTGCGGCGACGGCGGCTGCGGAGGCGGTGGAGGAGGAGACACCGGGGGAGGGACAGACGGCGAGGACTGCGCCAAAGGACTACCAGAGTCAGAAGACTCGTCGACCGGAACGACCGACGGGAGGGGGGTCACGTGAGACACACCAGAGGGGGCCGGACGGGGGGGCGGGGGGGGGGGAGGGGCAGGGTCCACCAGGGAGGGAGGAACCAGGAACAGGGGGGGAGTAACCGGGGGACCATGGTGGGGAAAGCGGCGGAAGAAGGAGACGGACTCGTCAAAGGTGACGTCGCGAGAGTGAAAGAAACGGTGAGACGGCGGGTGGTAGAAGTGCCAGTCGGACGCGTCAAGGGGGAAACCGAGGAAGACGCAGGGGAGGGTGCGGGCAGTGAGCTTGTCCGTGCCAGAGGCACGAACGTGAGCAAGGCAGCCCCAGACGTGGAACGCAGACGCGTCACCAGGGGACCCGGTCCACAGAAGGGTCGGCGAAACCTGCGGCCGCTGGGGGTGCGGCCACAGGTTAAGCTGGTGAGCGGCGTAGCGCACGGCGAACGGCCACAGAAAATGGGGTGCACCGGCGTGGATCATGGAGGTGCGAGCCACCTCCATGACCAAACCGATGCGTCGCTCAGCGACCCCATTCTGCTGCGGGGAGTCCGGCAGGGTGAACGTCTGGGTGATGCCCTCCGCACGACAGAAGCGACCAAGGACACCTGAGGCGAACTCGCCACCCCGGTCGGAGTGGAGGCGCAAGGCAGGGAGACCGCGGTGGAGACGAGCAGAGACAAGCCAGGGGATGAGAACGTCAGGCACGTCGGCCTTCCGCTCTAGGGGAAAGACGGTGGTGTAACGTGTGAAGTCGTCGACAAGCACTAGGAAGAAGCGCTCGCGACGCGGCCCATGGACCGGGGCTGGGCCCCAGACGTCCATGTGCAGAGTCTGCAGGGGTGCGGTGGTAGGGGGAAAAGAGGAGGAGTGAGGGGCACGGCGGAGCCGGCCCTCGACACAAGGCGTGCACGGTGGGGCGGGGGATGAGGGAAACTCAGGGAACGAACCGGGGAGACCAAGGACGAGACCGTGCTGGGACATGTGACGCAGACGCGGGAGTGCAGGGTGACCAAGGCGGTGGTGCCAAAGGAGAGTCGGATGAGTGAGGGACCGACAGGAGCACGCAGCAGCAACCTGGGTGGACGCAGCTACCTGGGGGGAAGACCCAGCCGGGGACGTCGCGGTGTCAAGTGTGAACAGGCCGGACACCGGGTCCCGGGGGAAAGTGGTAAGGGGGGCACCAGTGGCGGCCTCGGTACAGACAGCATACCGCTCGTGACCAGGGAACGTAGTGGTGACGCCAAGGTCCTGGAGGCAGCCGACACCAACTAGGTTCCTGGAGAACGAGGGGATATGCAGACCGGTGAGCGAACCTGAAGGAACCGCCGGACAGGGAAGGGAGGTGGAACTGCGGGCAAAGACGGGACCACCGGAGGGGTCAGCAAGAGTAACTGCAGCAGGAACAGGCAGCGGCGTCAGCGTCGTGGAGTCGCGGAAGAAACACCGGGAGGCGCCAGAGTCCAAGGTGAAGGAAAGCGCAGCAGTCGCGCGGGGCGACAGTGAAGCGGTGGAAGCACCGAGGCTAAGCAAAGCAGGAGATCCTACGCCTGACGCAGCAGGGGAGTCTACGCTAGGCACAGCTACACTAGGCAACACGGGGTAATAAGAGGGAAGCACACTAGAGTCATCGGCATACATCACATGCAAGGCTGCTACAATGGCATCCATGTCCAAGTCAAAAATCCGAATGCTACGCCTAAGCAAGCTGTGCCAGTCCGGGAGGTCGGGCGCCGGGCCAAAGCGCTGGCGGAACAGGTCGTCCAGACGACGAAAACAGCGAGGAGTGGAATGACCGATCTTACCGCAAACGAAGCCGCGGCGAGGACCGGTCTGGATCTGGTACTGACAGGGCCCGCCTCCAGAACCACCACCCGGTGCACCACCACGCGCACGACCACCACCAGCTCCAGGCCACCCAGGCGGGAGAGCACTCGCCGGCCTCGTCTGCGGCGGCTGCTGCGGCTGCTGCGGAGGCTGCTGCTGCTGCGGCTGCTGCAACGGTGGAGGCAGCGGGGCAGCTGGACCGGGCAGGGTCCCCACGTCCGCACCGGCACCGGACGACCCGCCTCCACCACTACCCCCACCCGCACCCCCGCCACCTCCGCCGCTCCCAACCTTGGGGCGGCGGCCCTTCCCCGAGCGGGACTGCACTGCAGCAGCAGTCTCAGCCACAGCGACAGAGCCGTCGGAGAAGGTACACTGAGCGGGGGCACAACCCTGAAAGATAGGGACCGGTACTGTACCGCTCGCCTGGGCTATGGAGCGGTGACGAGTCTCTATGGCAGTCAGGGTGTCAACAAAGTCGGTGAGGGTGAGAGCAGCAGGGTGGATGCTAAGGAACTGGTCGCGGGCGGCGGCAAGGCGGTCAGGGAGGCGGGTGGCAAGGAGGTAGAGGGTAGAGGTCATGGGAGGCTGGTGGACTCTAAGCTGTGCATCAGTGCAGGCAGCGCGCCAAGCCTCATCTATCGAGCGCAGGTGGGCAGCGAGGTCAGAGACAGTGGGGAAGGACGCCAGGTCAGGAAAGAGCAGGGGGAGGATCAGGCGACCCACTGAGGCAGCAGGAGGGGTAGAATAGCGCTTGATGACAGCATCGAGGTAGGCCTGGGCGGTAGTAATGGTTCTAAAGCGAGGGCGCTCAAGGGGGGGGAGGGCATTGCTAATGGCGAGCTGAGCAAGGGCATCGCGGGAAAGCCAGACAGAGCGGGCAAGGGCAGCGGCGGCAGTGGATTGCGCTCAGCGGGCGTGGGATCAGCAGGCAGCACAGCAGGGGGGTCAGGGCAGGGGAGCATACCGTCTAGGTGTGCAGAAAGCGGGTGGCCGTCCTGCCGCTGACCAGTGAGGTGGCGGCGAAGGTCAGCCAACCACGCCTCGAACTCCAGAGGCTGACCCTCAGCATCAAAACGAAGCTCAGCAGCCATGAGGGGCAGTGGAGGACAGTGGAGTGCGGTGTAGTGCTGTGCAGTGCGGTGCAGGGCGGTGCAGTGCGGTCCAGTGCGGTGCAGTGCGATGCAGTGCGGTGCAGTGCGGTGCAGTGCGGTTCAGTGCGGTGCAGTGCGGTCAGTGCGGTTCAGTGAGGTGCAATGCGGTGCAAGGCGGGGCAGGAAAGTGCAGGAGGGTGCAAAGTGGTGCGAGGAACGGGGGACTGTACCAGGAAGTATGGAGGGCCGGGGCAGGCGCGACGGGGCCGGGCAGGCGCGACGGGGCCGGGCAGGCACGTCGAGGCCGGGCAGGCGCGACGGAGCCGGGCAGGCGCGACGAGGGGCCGGGCGGCTGCGACGGGGCCGGGCGGCAGAGACAAGGCCGGGCGGCAGCTACGAGGCCGGGCGGCAGCGACAGGGCCGGGCGGCAGCTACGAGGCCGGGCGGCAGCGACAGGGCCGGGCGGCAGCGACGGGGCCGGGCAGGACACAGCAGGGCCGGGCGGGGGCGACGGGGCCGGGCGGGCGCGACGGGGCCGGGCAGGTGCGACAGGGGCCGGGCAGCTGCGACAGGGGCAGGGCGGGCGCCACGGGGCCGAGAGGCCGCGACAGGGCCGAGCTGGGGCGACGGGGCCGAGCAGGGGCGACGGGGCCGAGCAGGGGCGACGGGGCCCAGGAGGGTGGATACGGGGCCCAGGGAGGAGCGCGGCAGGGCCCAGGAGGGGCGCAACAGGCCCAGGAGGGGCGCTACGGGCCCAGGAGGGGCGCAATGGGGGCCCAGGAGGGGCGCGGCGGGGCCCAGGAGGGGCGCAATGGGGGGCCCAGGAGGGGCGCTACGGGCCCAGGAGGGGCACTACGGGCCTAGGAGGGGCGCGACGGGGCCTGGGAGGGGCACGACGGGGCCCAGGAGGGGCGCTACAGGGCCCAGGGAGGGCGCGACAGGTCCCAGTAGGGGCGCTACGGAGCCCAGGAGGGGCGCGACGGGGCCTGGGAGGGGCGTTACGAAGCCCAGGAGGGGCGCTACGAAGCCCAGGAGGGGCGCGACGAGGCCCAGGAGGGGCGCTACGGGGCGCTACGGGGCCTGTGAGGAGCGCGACGGGGCCCAGGAGGGGCGCTAAGGGGCGCGACGGGGCCCTGGAGGGGCGCTACGGGGCCCAGGAGGGGCGCGAAGGGGCGCGACGGGGCCCTGGAGGGGCGCTACGGGGCCCAGGAGGGGCGCTAGGGGGCGCGACGGGGCCCTGGAGGGGCGCTACAGAGCCCTGGAGGGGCGCGACGGGCGCCTGGAGGGGCGTTACGAAGCCCTGGAAGGGGGGCGCGACGGGGCCTGGAGGGGCGCTACGAGGCCCTGGAAGGGGCGCGACGGGGCTAGGGGGAGGGGTCGCGACTGGGCTCAGGAGGGGCGAGGCGAGGCTAGGAGACGCGACGGGAGGAGCGGAAGCGGTAGGTGGGGGGGGGGGGGGGGGGGGGGTCGAAACCTACTCGTGATACCATATCAAACCTAGAATTTAATAATATGAGAGAGAGAGTACACAAACATATACCTAAATGTTGTACTCTCTAGAAGGTGACCCTATACAGTCTATACAAACATGATAACTACACATGTTTGACACCCTGCACCATGTGCGTTGCGCTGTTCTAGTAACTGGAAGGGATAGCTAAGACGAAAAACTGCCATTCATAGTTCAGGTAACAGGCACTACGCTTGCGTGCCTTAATGCTCCCATCCCATCTGTACAATAGCTCCAGCGTAATGATTCAGATGCGCACTCACATTCAGTGCACTGCTTCCTTAATGCATTATAACACATTGAGGGAGTGAACGCAATGTGCGTGTATTTATTGCATGAAAGCATCAAGAAACCGTTACCCTCCGAGACCAGTGTGCCTTCTTGCTTCCTACTGAGAAATTGGACGTCCTCAGTGTGAGAAACATGTGCGTGAGAGTGTGAGTGCGCGTCCTCATTGTCAATCACGATGCTCCAAGCGGCCAGCCACTCCCTGCAGAGCTCCCGCACCTTGGGAGCATTGCGAGCCTCGTGCATGATGAAGATCGAGTCGCTGAGGAGTCAGGTTCTGCATGATGGAATTAGGTGTGGTTAACTAACATTGTGATCGGTACCCTAGCTATCGCAGGGCGTGTGGCTGTGCTGCCCCAGGCCCAGGCACGCGAGTGTGGGTGTGAGGGAGCGCGTGAGGATTGGAATGAGGGTCCACGTTGTCGATAACGATACCACGAGCAGCCAGCCACTCCCTGCAGAGCTCCCGCACCTTGGGGGCGTTGCGCGCCTCATGCATGATGAAGATGACGTCGTTAATTCGGCATTGAAGCGGGTACTGTGGCCCAAACCCCCCTGCACTGCTGCTGCTGCCAGCAACACTGCTTGCACTGCCAGCAGCGCTGCTATAACCTGCAGGGAGCACACTTCCCTGGCCGGCTTGGAACTGCCCTGTGGCGATCTGAAACGCCAGGCGGAGCCGGCGGCACGCCACATTGAAGAGAACCTTCCTGGAAGGTGAGAAGAGGAGGATCAGAGGGCACAGGAGAAGTCAAACTAATGCTCAATCAGAAGCAACGAACACTCACTTCATAGGAAGAAGGCTAACTTGTGCTTCATGAATCTATCTTATGCAGAGAAAAACTCTCTTATGCTTGTCCGATAGCATGTGAACGTGACGAAGGATCTCACTCATGAACTCACTTGTGTTCGTCTGACAGCATGTGAATGAGGCGGTCGATCTGCTCCTTAGGCAGCTTCACAGACCGAGACATATCTTGCCGCCCGGTAAACGTTAGGGAAAGCGCCGACAGCTTGACAGCAGTGTGAGTGTACACCATGACTGCTGCTCCAATCACCTGCGGACATGTGGAGAAGGCAGGAGGGGGGGGGGGATTGGGGGGAAGAAGGGCATTGAACATCAAAGGGAGGTACCAGGCAATGAGGGTTGGGACATGGTTCAGAGAACGAAAATAGGAGGATGCGATCTGTTGGCTAGGGTGGGAAGGGTGCTATCTGGAAAAGCACACGGTGCTGCTGCATGACTTTCTACAATCAAGAGAGAGCAGTGTATGCTTTTGAGTCGACTCAAAAGCGGTCACCCAAGTCACCTCATCCTTGTCAGCAAGCTGATCCAGCAGCAGCAGCAACAGCGGCAGCAGCAGCAGCAGCAAGCGGCAGCAGCAGCGGCAGCAGCAGCGGCAGCGGCAGCAGCAGCAGCAGCGGCAGCAGCAGCGGCAGCGGCAGCAGCAGCAGCAGCAGCAGCGGCAGCAGCGGCAGCAGCAGCAGCAGCAGCAGCGGCGGCAGCAGCGGCAGCAGCAGCAGCGGCAGCGGCAGCAGCGGCGGCAGCATGTACTTGAATCGGTCCAGGAGGCTGCTGCCCCATGGAGGATCTGATCCTTGCAAGAGATTCTTGAGAATTCTAAAAAATGGCTCGTGGATCGGATCCGCCTCTCAACAGATCCGATCTAGAGCCTCTCAAACAGCAGCCAACGCCACTAAGGCGACCGGCACTAGACTGAGATGGAAACTTAGAGAAGATAATGGTATGTGTATGCTCACCTCATCCATATCCGCTGGTGGCAGCATGTACTTGATGCGGTTCATCAAATTCTCAAACAGCATGCGGTGCTGCTGCTTCTCTGCCAGTGAGGCCGCCACGCTGGCGTAGATCTGCACTGCTGGCAGCTGGAGAAAGCTGATCACCTCCAGGGCCACGTCGAACTCTCTTTCGACTAAGAATTCCGTCACCTCCACACGCCGCCTGGTTGGGAAGAGAGAGTGAGAACCAGAGGAGGGGAATTGCTGAGTTTCACATACAGTGGGCACATCTGCACGGCTGGTAGCCTGGTAGCTGCAGGTCTCGTTCCACCGAGAACTCTGTGACCTCCACACGCCGCCTACTGGCGGGGGGGGGGGGGGGGGGGGGTAAGGGCGAGACGCAAGGAAAAGATGGGCTTTTGATTGGAAAAGGAGATCCAGCCAGATCCAGCTGCCAGCACGGCTGCAGATCTGCATGGCTGGCAGCTGCGGGAAGACCAGCCGCCGCACAGCGGGAAGATCAGTTCTAGCGCGAGGTCAAACTCTCTTGACTCATTACACAGGTCAAACTCTCTTGACTCATTACACAGGTCAAACTCTCTTGACTCATTACACAGGTCAAACTCTCTTGACTCATTACACAGGTCAAACTCTCTTGACTCATTACACAGGTCAAACTCTCTTGACTCATTACACAGGTCAAACTCTCTTGACTCATTACACAGGTCAAACTCTCTTGACTCATTACACAGGTCAAACTCTCTTGACTCATTACACAGGTCAAACTCTCTTGACTCATTACACAGGTCAAACTCTCTTGACTCATTACACAGGTCAAACTCTCTTGACTCATTACACAGGTCAAACTCTCTTGACTCATTACACAGGTCAAACTCTCTTGACTCATTACACAGGTCAAACTCTCTTGACTCATTACACAGGTCAAACTCTCTTGACTCATTACACAGGTCAAACTCTCTTGACTCATTACACAGGTCAAACTCTCTTGACTCATTACACAGGTCAAACTCTCTTGACTCATTACACAGGTCAAACTCTCTTGACTCATTACACAGGTCAAACTCTCTTGACTCATTACACAGGTCAAACTCTCTTGACTCATTACACAGGTCAAACTCTCTTGACTAAGTGTGTAATGAGTCGATTTTTGAGTCGACTAAAAAATCCGTGTGTAATGAGTCGATTTTTGAGTCGACTCAAAAATCGACTCATTACACAGGTCAAGCTCTCTTGACTAAGTGGAGCCATTTTTTAGAACTCTTAAAAAGAAACTCTCTCGACCAAAAACCCTCTGACATCCACTACCTTCACACACTCACTTGCCGGTCCTGGCATCGCTGGCAGCACCAAAGAGAGTCACACTCCACGGGGCCCTCCTAGCCGCCCCCACCAGCGCCACGCCGCTGCTGTCTCTCGCGCTGCACGCCCCCACCGTGCGCACCACCTCCCTTGCAGCTCTGCCAGGCGTTGCCGCCTCAGCAGGAATGCTGACTCATTGGACGAGACCAGACAAGACCAGACCGGACCAGACCGGACCAACTACTTCTGATTCAAGAAAGGAATAAGGCACTCACATACACACTCATGACTTTTGAGTCGACTCAAAAGGCACTCACTTGCTGGTTCTGGCATCAGAGGGAGCACCGAACAGAGCCACACTCCATGGTGCCCTCCTCGCCGCCCCCACCAGCGCAATGCCGCTGCTGTCTCTTGCGCTGCACGCGCCCACCACGCGCACCACCTCCCCCTGCAGCTCTGCCAGCCGCTGCAGCCTCAGCAACCTCACCTCTGCTGATCCACAGAACCATCTACTACCAATTTGAGAAGAAAGAACACAAACTCACTTGCTGGTTCTGGCATCACTAGGAGAACCGAACAGAGCCACGCTCCACGGTGCCTTCCTTGCAGCTCCCACCAGCGCAATGCCACTGCTGTCTCGTGCGCTGCACGCCCCCACCACGCGCACCACCTCCCCCTGCAGCTCTGCCAGCCGCTGCAGCCTCAGCAGATCCTCATCCGAAATCTTTGCCGTCGCCGCCCGCTGCTTGCTGATCAGCGCCAGGCTGGTGCTGCTGGTGGTGGTGGTGGTGCTGCTGCCTGCACCAGTACCGCCTGCACCAGCAGCACCTGCACCTGCCCCAGCAGCAGCAGCGGCAACGGCGGCAGCACCAGAAGCAGCAGCAGCAGTGCCTCCAGAGATGGCGAGTCTCCTGCTGGCAGCAGCAAGAGGGCCGATAGCTGCTGCCAGGTCTGCTGCTGCACTCTGCCTGGCCTCCGTGCCCTTCTCAAAGAGAAGCTGGGGAAGAGGGCAGAAGGGGTATGTAGGAGGGAGAAGAGGCATGTAAATTTGGTAGCTAGCTTCGGTAGTCGCTTGCTAAGTTGAGCCTGACATCCGTGCCCGACTCGAAGAGCAGCTGGGGAAGGATGGGGAGGGGGCGGACAGGAGGCAATACATGCGGACGTTGGCTGAAAGTTGATGGAAATAGCAAGAACCTGGACGACTATCCAGCTCGCAAGCGCAACCCCACCAGCAACTGGCCAACCTCACCTGTGCCTGCTGCAAGTGCGTGGCTGCGGGGTGCGGATATCCGAGGAGTAGAGGAGTCTAGAACGTGCCACTGTGCTGCTGCCAACGAATACAACTCTGGTTTCCCACCAGATTGCCTTCGCCTCACCTGTGCCTGCTGCAAGTGTGTGGCTGCGGTGCGGAGATCCGGCGAGTAGAGGAAGAGTTGGATGCTGCACAGGCCAGCTGCCACGTAGTCCCTGGCAAGCAGCTGATGGAGGGAGCAGAAGGGGGAGGAGGGGGGTTCCCAAGAAGGAACGAAGGACAGGACAAGCGGATGCACATGAGAGGAAGAGCAGGATGCTGCACAGGCCAGCTGCCACGTAGTCCCTGGCAAGCAGCTGATGGAGGGAGCAGAAGGGGGAGGAGGGGGGTTCCCAAGAAGGAACGAAGGAAAGGACAAGCGGATGCACATGAGAGGAAGAGCAGGATGCTCCACAGGCCTGCTGCCACGTAGTCCCTGGCAAGCAGCTGATGGAGGGAGCAGAAGGGGGAGGAGGGGGGTTCCCAAGAAGGAACGAAGGAAAGGACAAGCGGATGCACATGAGAGGAAGAGCAGGATGCTGCACAGGCCTGCTGCCACGTAGTCCCTGGCAAGCAGCTGATGGAGGGAGCAGAAGGGGGAGGAGGGGGGTTCCCAAGAAGGAACGAAGGAAAGGACAAGCGGATGCACATGAGAGGAAGAGCAGGATGCTGCACAGGCCTGCTGCCACGTAGTCCCTGGCAAGCAGCTGATGGAGGGAGCAGAAGGGGGAGGAGGGGGGTTCCCAAGAAGGAACGAAGGAAAGGACAAGCGGATGCACATGAGAGGAAGAGCTGGATGCTGCACAGGCCTGCTGCCACGTAGTCCCTGGCAAGCAGCTGATGGAGGGAGCAGAAGGGGGAGGAGGGGGGTTCCCAAGAAGGAACGAAGGAAAGGACAAGCGGATGCACATGAGAGGAAGAGCTGGATGCTGCACAGGCCTGCTGCCACGTAGTCCCTGGCTAGCAGCTGATAGAGGGAGCAGAAGGTGGAGAATGGAAGGCAGAATTGGACTAGCAAAAGAGGAAGAGCAGGATGCTGCACAGGCCTGCTGCCACGTAGTCCCTGGCTAGCAGCTGATGGAGGGAGCAGAAGGGGGAGGAGGGGGGTTCCCAAGAAGGAACGAAGGAAAGGACAAGCGGATGCACATGAGAGGAAGAGCTGGATGCTGCACAGGCCTGCTGCCACATAGTCCCTGGCAAGCAGCTGATGGAGGGAGCAGAAGGGGGAGGAGGGGGGTTCCCAAGAAGGAACGAAGGAAAGGACAAGCGGATGCTCATGAGAGGAAGAGCTGGATGCTGCACAGGCCTGCTGCCACGTAGTCCCTAGCAAGCAGCTGATAGAGGGAGCAGAAGGTGGAAGAATGGAGGGCAGAATCGGACTAGCAAAAGAGGAAGAGCAGGATGCTGCACAGGCCTGCTGCCACATAGTCCCTGGCAAGCAGCTGATAGAGGGAGCAGAAGGTGGAAGAATGGAGGGCAGAATCGGACTAGCAAAGAGGAAGAGCAGGATGCTGCACAGGCCTGCTGCCACATAGTCCCTGGCAAGCAGCTGCAGGCAAGAGGACGGGTAGAGAGGGTAAGGGGAGAGGAGAAGAACAAGGGCAAGGCAAGGAAACGGGCAAGGGGAGTTAAATGCACAGGCATGCCTCCAATACAGTCCGTGGCTAGGAGCCAACAGGATTTTTGTCGTGCCACAGTCGGAGATTATGCAGGGTGTTCTCAAAAACACCCTGCAAAATTAAAGGCTAGGAGCCAACAGGGTTCTTGTGGTGCCAATAAAGACAATGCCACAGTCGGAGATTATATTTTGAGTCGACTAAAAAATAAAGACAATGCCACAGTTGGAGATTATATTTTGAGTCGACTAAAATATAAAGACAATGCCACAGTCGGAGATTATCTTTTGAGTCGACTAAAAAATAAAGACAGTGCCACAGTCGGAGATTATCTTTTGATTCGACTAAAAAAATAAAGACAATGCCACAGTCGGAGATGATCTTTTGAGTCGACTAGAAAATAAAGACAATGCCACAGTTGGAGATTATCTTTTGAGTCGACTAAAAAATAAAGACAATGCCACAGTCGGAGATTATCTGAAACTTACCAGAAATCGGAAGAGGAAGTGGAAGTTCTTCTGGGATTCAAAGAAGGTGAAGATGCAGGAGAGAGCGGCTAGGCACTTGACATCGGTAGAGGGTGTTAGAATATTCTCCCTTCATTCTATTAGCCTACATCGTTTCATTGTCTTAGGTACTTATAAGCACCCCACTAGGGTGTATACACCCAAGTTGGGGGTTGGGTTCCCAAATTGGTTGGGCTCCCAATTATTGGAACCCCCAATCATCCCAACCAAGATTATTGGACCCACCAATAATCTTGGCTGGATTATTGGACCCCCAATAAGTTGGCCGACTCAACTTATTGGGGTCCCCAATAATCGTGGTCACCTCCCAACCAAACCCCCCTCCTACTCCTCACCTATGTATACCCACTCCTTTCCTAATACAATCATCACTTCAGTTTCTCACAGAGGGTTGCGGCACAGCAAAACTCGGGGTAGGTGGGCTAGCTTGGGCTTACCAGGAAGCGGAAGAAGAAGTGGAAGTTCTTTTGCGATTCAAAGAAGGTGCAGATGCGGGAGAGAGCAGCCAGGCACTTGACATTGCCACTGGCCCATGCTGCTGTTGCTGATGCTGTAGCAGACGAACCACTCCAACCAGCCGCGGCACCACTAGCACCAGTAGCACCAGCACCAGCACCAGCACCAGCAGCGCCAGCACCAGCAGCACTACTTACTCCTGCCGTCGCACCTCCTCCCAGCGCCTCGGCCACCACCCTTTCAAGCACCTCCACAGCTCCATACGACACACACAGCGCGCACAACTCCTCTACAGTAGCGTACTCTGACTTTAACGGGTCCCATTCTAGTAACGAGGACAGGGAGGGTGGAGATGGGTTGAGAGACATGGTGGGTGGCTGAGGTGGTAGTGCTGGGGCCAGGGGGTTGGGGAGGGTGGTTGTGGTTGGGGTGGTGGTGGTGGTGGGGGTGGTGGTGCTGTGGCGGGGGGTGAATGAGAGAGAGGGGGAGGAGGAGGAAGGGTGGGGAGGGGGAGGAGGGAAGAAGATGAGCCAGCAAGCGGATCGGTAGCGGCCGTGTCGGAACATGAAGGGGAGGAGGTCCCGAGGGGCATGCTGCAGGCAGGGGGAACAGGGGCGGCAAGGGTGTGAGAATTGTGAGTAAAATCTAAAAGTCGAACTCCAAGCTGGAAAAGTCGAGCCACAAAGGAGCAGCATGACAACACCATAAGCACTCACTCGTTTGAGCAGCTGAGCGCACTCGTTGAGCCTCTGATCATCCAAGTACGAAAACGTCTCCCTCTCCTCCTCATCCACCAACGGGACCTCCTCTCCCTGCCTTCCCTGCCCCTCCTCCCCTTCCCCCTGCCCCTCTCCCTGCCCTTCCCCTCGCCCCTGTAACTCTCCTTCGCCCTGTCCCAGCCCCCGTCCTTCAGTCTCTGACTGGCGGCTGTATTGTGCGCTCACTGACCCTCCCTCTCTCCATTCATCAAAGGACGGAATAGCAGGAGGAGGAATCGCTCCTAGGATTGGAGAAACACCAGCAGAAGCAGCAGCAGCAGACGCAGTACCAGCAGCAGCAGAAGCAGCAGCAGCTGAGGCAGAAGTGCTGTAAGCACCAGTAGCAGCCACAGGGGGTGCTGCTAAGGAGGATGGGCGAGAGGAGGAGGAGGAGGAGGTGGAGGAGGAGGAGGGGCGGAGAGTGGGGGACTGGAAGAGAGAGGAGGCGGAGGTGAGAGCACCGAGGTAGGATTCTGTTGTGAGAGAATCTTGGAAAGAATCTGCTACTGCCTTCTCTGTTTGAGCCAGGCTGAGAGGTGGAAGGTAAGGGTGGGTGGAAGAAAGAGAGAAAGAAAAAATACATTAAGAGGGCTTGTGAGAGCACAGCACCAAAGTAGGACTCTGCTGTGAGAGAGTCTTGAAAGGATTCTGCTACTGCCTTCCCTGTTTGAGCCAGGCTGAGATGTGACAGGTGAGTGGAGGAAGGATGAAATAGGTATATTCTGAGTCGCATGGATCTGCAATCGGCTCATGATATATGCATGCATACACTCAATCAGCACCGCCTGCAACTACCGGCATCAAATACTCGAGAACAAGCACTACCACGCTTGCACTATCCTGCTTAAGGGATGTTCGAAGTCACCTCAAAGAGAGAACACCACTTGGTGTTCTCTTCGAAGTCACCTCAAAGAGAGAACACCACTTGGTGTTCTCTTCGAAGTCACCTCAAAGAGAGAACACCACTTGGTGTTCTCTTCGAAGTCACCTCAAAGAGAGAACACCACTTGGTGTTCTCTTCGAAGTCACCTCAAAGACGAATATTTACAGCTGTTGAGTACCGAGCACGTCAGCAGGAACGCATGTCTCAATGAAACGTCTAGGGCGCACAAAACACAAGCAATGCTGGAGGCAGGTGTGATGATGCTAGTGCATAACAATACTTACAGCTGCTGAGTGCCGGCCACGTCAGCAGGAATGCACGACTCGATGAAACGCACCACCTCCCGTGCCACTGCTGCCATCCTCTCTGCTGCTCCCCCTCCTCCAACCACCCCTCCTCCTGCTCCCCCTCCTCCCGCTACCCCTCCTGCCCCTCCTGCCCCTCCTGCTTGTCCACTGCTCGCCCCCACCCCTCCTCGACTCCTCAGACCCTCACTTCCCCCTCCTGCTGCTGACGCTCCTCCTCCCGCTCCTCCTGACACTGTTCCCTGTGCTCTTACAGCAACGCCACCAGTTGCCGGTGTTTGTGGTGGTGCTTTGTGCACAGCTGCTGTTCTTGCTGTGTCTGCAGCAGCAGCAGCAGTAGCAGCAGCAGCAGCAGTAGCAGCAGCAGCAGCAGGAGGAGGAGGAGCTGAGGGGTCTGATTGTTGGAGAAAGAGGAAGAGTCGCCTGAAGTGTGCAGAGGTAAGGGGGGGAAGGCAGAGGAGAAATGAGGTGCCGTGACAGGCCCTGTGGGGCTGCTGATCTTGCTTGCTGCGTCTGCTTTTGAGCCAACTCAAAAGAAAATGAGGTGGCATGATAGGTCCTGAGGGGCTGCTGATCTTGCTTGCTGCGTCTGCAGCGGCAGCAGCAGCAGCAGCAGCAACGGTGGGAGGAGATGGAGGGGAGAGCTGGCTGAGAAAGAAGAGAAGGAAACGGGGAGACGGGGGGAAGAGAGAGAGAGAGAGACGGGGAGAGGGAAAGGCACAGACAAGTAGAGGCCTCGCTGAGATATGCTCTTCAGGTGCACATCTGCTCAGACTATCACTCACTCTAGGATATGCCGAGCCTGGGGATAGTTCTTCACTTGAGTGAAGGACAACACCCACGCCTTGAACACGGGGCAGGGGTCCACGTGGCAGGTCTCACACAGCGCAGCAGCAAGCTTACAGCATTCCTCAGAACTCACTCTAAGATATGCCGAGCTTGAGTATAGTTCTTCACTCGAATGAGGGACAGGGCCCACGACTTAAACACCAGGCAGGGATCCACTGTGCAGGTGTCACACAGAGCAGCAGCGAGCTCGAAGCACTCCTCCTTCACCAACCTGTCTCTCAGAGCCAGCCTTGCACACAGGGACGCCTCCCAAGGCTTGGACACAGGACAGGGATCCACCGGGCACGTCTCATGCGGGGCAGCATACCTTGAACTCACAACTCACTCGAGAATGTGGCGCGCTTGAGAGTAGTTCTTCACTCGAATGAGCTAGACCGCCCACGCCTTGGACACAGGGCAGGGGTCAACCTGGCACGTCTCACACAGAGCAGCAGCGAGCTCATTCCATTCCTCACTACTCACTCTAGGATATGCCGAGCCTGCGGGTAGTTCTTCACTCGAATGAGGGACAGGGCCCACGCCGTGTACACAGGGCAGGGGTCCACCTGGCACGTCTCACACAGAGCAGCAGCCAGCTCGAAGCACTCCTCCTTCACCAACCCATCCCTCAGAGCCAACGTCGCACCCAGAGACGCCTCCCGAGCCTCTGTTTCCGCCTCGGGCGGCAACCGGGCGTGTGCAGAGCCATGCTGCCAGCGCTGCTGCTGCTGCTGCATTGGCTTTTGCGGCCTCTGCTGCTGTTGCATCTGCCCACTACGCCCAGTGGCTCTACTCCAAGCCATATCCCCCCCTCCCTCTCCTCTCCCTCCCCCCCCACCTCCTCCTCCCATCACCTTGCTTCGCGATGCCTCAGTACCCCCCAGCACTGTGCATACAAGCTGAGATGCGAATGCGCCAGGAGCCCCAGGCTGGAAGTCGGGATCACCACCCCCGAGCTCGTCTATCCCCACACCCACATTGTCCGCCAGGAACCTTCTCAGAAGCATCACCCGTGCGATCCACGCGTCTGCTCGTTCCAACAGCTGCTTCAGCGCCTTCTGCTGTGCCCTAACCTGCAAGGGGTCTCTCGCCTGAACCTGCGCCGAGCCTCTCGCCCGAACCTGGGCTGGTGTTCTTGTCCGAGCCTGTGCCGAGCCTGTGGGTTGGGTTGCAGGCTCGGGTTTGGCGAGCTGCGTCTGGCAGGCGAGGAGCATGCCATGAGTGACATCGAGAGCCTGTAGGTGGAAGAAAAGAAGAGATGCAGGGAGCAAAGGAGTGGGAGGGAGAAGGAAATGAATTTGGGAAATGATTTTGGTAGTGAAGTGAGGAGCATGTCACGAGTGATGTTGAGAGCCTGGAGATGGAAGATATGGAGAGACAGAGACGAGGAGTTGGGGGAAGAAGGAAATGATTTCGGGTAGGTTAAAAGCATGCCGCAGGTAGGAACATACGCAGGAAATTAATCACTTTGAAACATACCCAGGATGATACTCTGGGTATGGAAGAGCCGGGGTCCCTTCACTCACTTTGAGGTAGGCTTTTGAGAAGAAGGCACTCTGAGTCAGCGACAGCAGGCTGGTGCCACGTGGCGTGCTCTCTTTGGCCAGGCCCATGCCCGTCTGCTCCACAACCACTGCCAGCAGCCGTTTGACCGCAGAGACTCGCCTGGAGCACAGCGACGCCAGCGATTGAAACAGAGCAACATCCGGCGTCTCGGGGAACTTATGGTGGGACCTAGTTTCACTATCCCGGGCTTCCTCTCCGATCAGCACTGCTTCTCGCGGCATGTCCCTCACTCCGAGCCTCCCCACTGCTTCCTCCTCTTCTCCCTCTTCGCCTTCCTCTTCTCCTGTGCTTCCCCCTGCGCCCCGCTCCCCGTCCAATCCCATGCGGCCACCTGGGAGGTTGCCGACCGGCCTGCCTGTCAGCTCGGGAAGAGACATGGAGCTTACTGTAGCAGCGAGTTTCAGATGCCGCCCAGCCCGATCCGACTGGGCGGCAGCGGCTGTAGCAGTACCTGGGCTACTGGGCCGGTTCATTGCACCTGGACGTGGGTGTGCTGCTACAGCCCCCCCTCTAGGGCTGGTTTGCAGGCTGGCAGTACCGCTGACCGTCCTGCCTAGTGTGCCAAAACGGGTTGCAGCACCAGCACCAGTACCAGCAGCACTAGCACCAGCACCACGACCACCGCCAGCAGCACCGCCGCCAGCAGCAGCAGAGGCAGGGGGAGAAGGGTGGCCACGAGCAGGAGCATCAAGAGACACGGACGACGAAAGCCGGGTTTTCGCTGCCTCTGCCAGCGTCTGCGGCCGCTCCCCTCCCGTTCTCCCTCCTCCTCCTCCACTTTCCCTTCCCCCTCCAACTCCCGCTCCCACTCTCCCTCCCCCTCCCACCCCTCCAAGCCCGGGACTAGCCCGAGGGGACGGAACAGGGCTGGCGAACGGGGAAGTGCTACCAGCCGCAGCCGCAGCAGCAGCAGCAGAGGTGAAAGAGGAAGAGGAGGAGGAGGCAGCGCCCCAGGGGAAGACGCGGGAGGCTTGCTGCTGAATGCGCAGGAAGCTGCTGGTGATGGGGCCGGGGGGGAGTGAGGGCGGGCGGGGGATGGCGGAGGAGCGGAGGGAGGGCTGGTGGGGGAGAGGCGGAGGGGGAGGAGGGGCGTTGGTAGCTGGGGTGGTTGAGGACGAGGCGGAGGAGGAGGAGGAGGAGGAGGATGGGGAGAGTGGGGAGGGGAAGAGGGCCTTGCGTGCGTAGGAGAGGAGGAGGTTGTCGTTGCGCAGAGCTGGGAAATTGGCAAAGATCTGTGAGGGAGGGGCACAGGAACAGGGATACAGGGGAAAAGGAGTCTAGGTTTGAGGGGCCTCAAAACTTGGCAAAGATCTGTGAGGGAGGGGCAGTTTTGAGGCGCCTCAAAAAAAGGAGTCTAGGTTTGAGGGGCCTCAAAACTTGGCAAAGATCTGTGAGGGAGAGGCACAGGAACAGGGATACAGGGGAGAAGGAACCCGCAATCAGGTCGGCCAGAGAAACCTCGGGGAAACAGGAAGCTGCCCGTTTGTTAAACGAAAATAATGGCAGTCACGTAAGCACACCCAAAAATGACTTGTGACTGATACTTGTTCAGCAACAACAGTAAACGTCTATGCACAATACCTGCGGCAGTAGGGAGGTGTGTTTCTCCATTATAAGGCTCTCCACTATAAGCTCTGGCCGCAGCAGCACAGCCACATGCTGCCCTCCCAGCCGCCGCTGCCACTCTGAAGGGAAGGTTCCCAGAAGCTGCAGGGCTAGCTGGAGCTGCTTGGCGTCTGCCACGTCAGCAGGAGGTAGATTTGCCTCTGCTGCCCGCTTGAGAACGAAATTCACCTTTCAAGAGGAGTGGGGACGGGAGGAGGGGAGGTGTGTATGGGGGAGAAGGAGTGGTAAAAAGAGGGGGAGGGGGGTTGGGGGGAGTGAGCACGAGTGGTGAGAGGACCATGCAAACCCCTCTAGTGTAACTTGGTTAAATGAAGATTGTGCGGCATTTGTCGTCCTTAGTGCATCTGAAATCGAGTGTCTTCTGTGGCAAACATGATGGACGGAGGAAAAGGAAGGCAGCATGCAAGAGGCACAGATGCCTCCCAAGGAGCAAGTATTACAAGTAATTACGCTTCTAACTAACCAAGGGAATTTTTGAGGCGCCTCGAAAACTGAGACGATTTTTGAGGTGCCTCAAAAGGAGGCAGAGATGCCTCCCAAGGAGCAAGTATTACAGGCAACTACGCTTCTAACAAACCAAAGCAACTTCCAACCACGCTTCTAAAGCGCCTACTAAGCCAGAGAGCCCCCCGAGCTTAAAACCCCTCCCAGAGCTTGGCCCAAGGAGTTCCCCTGTCTGGGAGGGGTTTTAAGCTCAAGGGACGTCCTTCAAAAGCGTGGTTGAAGGTGCCCGCAATCTCCTGCGTGGTGCCTTTCCCCATGAGAGAATTTTGAGAATTCTCAGTTCATCACACCCTCCCTCTCCTCCTTTGGATTTGGCTAAAAAAACAAAAGAGTGCATGGGACATGCGATGTGCGTGAGCATAGAGCGCACGAGACTACGCACGATGAGTTTTTTGGAGTGCAGGGATGGAGCCCACCGCATGGCTGACAGCACCACCCCCATCACCCCCTCCCTCCCCTCCACTCTCCCTCTCGCTTCCTCCCCCTCTCCTCCACTCCCACTCCCCACACCACCAGCACCAGCCATAGCAGCAGCACCAGCAGCAGCAAGAGTGCCATCAGCAGCAGCACCACCAATGTCACCACCAGCACTTAGACTACCAGCAGCAGCCCCACCACTTCCAACCGCCACCCCTTCCCTCTCCTGCGCCTTCCCCTCCTGCATAAGTCTCTCAAGGTACCTCATGCCCACGGCAGGCCCTGAGTCAGCCTGCAACGGATCTCCCCCCATCAGCTCACTCAGATACCGCCCCCTCAGATCTGCTAGTAACGCCCCACCCACCCTCCCTGCTCGGTCTGCTGCTGATCCCGGTGCTGCCCCCATCAGTCCCGCTGCTGCTCCTGTTGCTGCTCCTCTTGTTGCTGCTCCAACCCACGCCCCTCCTGTAGCACCGGCAGCAGCAGCAGCAGCAGAGGCGGAAGCAGCGGCAGCAGTTTCTGCCTCCATTCCTACTCCTACCCCTGCTGCTGCTCCTGCTGCTGTCACTGGTGCGGCTGCATGTGCCTCTGCCAGAGAAACAGCCTCTTTGACTGCGCCCTTGTCGGCCAGCTGGCGAGAGATGGACTCGGGATCCCGGAAGCAGAGTGCGCGGACCTAGAGGAGGGGAAGCGAGGGAAGAGAGAGAGGGAAAGAGCGCCAAAGAAGGCCAGAGGGAGATGGCCTTTCGTACTGCGCCCTTTTTGGCCAGCTGGCGAGAGATGGACTCCGGATCCTGGAAGCAGAGTGAGCGAACCTGAGGGGGAGGGGGGGTCATGTCAGGGTTTAAAATGGGGGTGGGTGGGTGGGTGGCGGAAGGGGAGGAGGGGGGTCTTAACGGAGAGAGGGGATTTGAATGAAGGTTCAAGGAGCAAGAACGAGGGGTAGGGTAGGGTGTGGTAGAGCAAAGGCACGGGAAACGATAACTGGGGGGGCGAGCAATGGGGGGCGAGCAATGGGGGGCGAGCAATGGGGGGCGAGCAATGGGGGGCGAGCAATGGGGGGCGAGCACGTCACGGAAATCCCTGGGGGGTGCATGCTCATGTCAGATGCCTGCCTGCCTGCCAGCACCCCCCAAAAAGGGCTGCCTGTTTTTGAGGCGCCTCAAAAACAATCACGGAAATCCCTGGGGGATGCATGCTGATTTCACATGCCCAAAGGCCTGCCAGCACTGCACATGCGCTGGCTGGCAGGGAACAGCCACTGACCTGCTGCCACGTGGCAAGGGTCCGGTCATTGAGAATGGAGCGAATGCGGGTGTACTGATCCACAGATGATTTGCAGGCGAGGATCTTGTGAGGGGGAAGTAGAGAGGGGGGATGAGGGGGGATGAGGGGGGATGAGGGGGAAAGGGACGGGATGAGGGAATGGCGAGATCTTAGAGAACGGAGTGGATTTGTGGGGTTAGTGAGTGAATCAGAGGGGGGACTAGAGACAGACCTCGAAGGGGAACGAAGAGGAGGACTAGGTGGCAGAGGAAGAGGGTGGGCTCGCAGTAGTGGGTGGGTTCGGAATTGAAGTGGCAGCTGAAGAGGGGGAGCGAAGCAACATGAGAAAGGAGGCAGCAAGTAGAGCATGGAGGCACAAACGGCATAAGCTGACATGAAGTGAAGAGTACCTGAGAGGCGAGAGATGAGTGCGGGGGAAGGTGTGAGAGGCAGTTGTTGAGGACAGTGTGAATGTGAGGCAGCTCCCAGCTGTGGTAGTACCTGTTATGGACACATGCATGCACACATGCGAATACATGAGCACACATGCTCGGGAGCACACGCATGCACGAGAGCAGAAGCACACAAGGTGTGCGAAACAGTCTCTACGGACACTGTATGTGTGTGGCTAATAGACTGCCTTTGCGTCGACTCAAAAGCACGAGAAAAGAAGTGCACAAGGCAGGACAGACAGTTTCTAAGAACACTGTGTATGCAGGGCAGCTCCCAGCTGTGGGCTGCCACACATGAGCATCAACATGAGACAGTACGTAAATCGCTCCATCCTTGCACACATGAACCCTCAAACCCGCCCAACCGGTCCTTCCTCTACCACCCCCTCCACTCTTTTTTTGAAGCGCGTCAAAAATAGACATCTCTCCTACCTGAGCGCCAGGGCCGCTGCAAGCTCCTTGTCCGCCACGCGAATCACAAACCGCCAGCTGTCGCCCGATGTCACAGGCTTCCTGACCCCCCTGGCCGCAGCACCACTGGGGCCTCCACCACCACCACCACCAGCACCGGCCGGACCTACAAACCCCACTCCTCCAGTCCTTGGGTTCTGGAGCCTGCTTGCATGGGTCAATGGCACCCTCTGAAACCGCCTCATGTCTCCTGCTAACCCCCCTACTCCTGTTACCCCTGCCCCTGCTCCTGCTACTCCTGCTGCTCCTGCTACTCCTGCTACTCCTGCAGCCCCTGCTGATCTTTTGAAAGCATCATCGGTGCGCTCTGCCTGCTCCACCAGCAGACACAGCAGGTGATCTGGTGCCCCCTCAGGCAGCCACGTGTCTGCCAGCTCAAGGGCTTCGGCCAATCGCGAGTCAGCAATCAGGCTGGACGGATGGCAGATGGGGGGCCGATGGGGTTGCCATGGGTGTTGGAAATGGGGGTCGGGGGGGGGGAGGAGGGGGGGAGGGGGGTTTGTGAAGTGAAATTTGGGAACAGTATTGGAGCCGATGACTTGCAATACGGAGAAGGAAAGGGTTAGATGACGACGACTGTTGACGTCAAGCTTGCAAAATGGACGACGCGCCTCAAGCTGTAACTTTTTCTCTTGCAGTTAAGCCTCACCTCTCCAGGTGAATCCTCACCTCTCCAGGTGAATTCTCACGGGCCGCAAGTCCTCCCACTCATTCAGCAGAGCCTCCAGCCGACCCCCCGCCACCGCCGCCCCTTCCTCGACCGACACCATTGGACTTGGCTGCGCAGGTTCTCTCCCTGCCACACCACTCCCATCAGAGGCAGCCGTGGCACCACTTGCGTGTCTTGACTCTTCCCAAGCCCCATCCATCGGCTCCGCTCCCACCTCAATTGCACCCCTCTCAGGCGAAAGAGCCCGCTTCGCCCCTCTATGTCCCTCACCACCCCCTGTCATCCCCCCAGTACCTGCTGCTGCTGCTGCTCCCCCCTCTATCCCAGCCAACCTGCCCCCTGCTCCGGCTGACCTCACCCCACCTGCTCTCCTCGCCCCTCCCACCACTGCTGCCGCTGTGGTTCCTTCTTGCCCTGCCAGCAAGAGAGCTGACCCTGTAAACACCCTCCCGCCCCTCCTGCTGCTGCTGGTGGTGCCAGGCGAACGCACAGGCAAGGTCCCTCCAGGGCTATTCCAACCCAACGGTTGTTGCCTTGATGCCCCCTGCTGCCCCAATGGCCTCTGTTGCCCTGTCAATGCTGCTGCTTGCGGCATCCCTCCCTGCTCTGCTGCTCCCCTCCCCTGTGCTACCCCCCCCAAGCCTCCTGCTAACGACCCCCCTCTGGCTTCCCCCCCTGTAAGCCCCCCACCTGCTGTGGCTCCTGCTGGCAGTTGCTGCTTGGGAGGGCGGGAGGGTGCTTTGGCGGCAGCAATGGCAATAGACTGGATGGCAGACTGCAGAGTGACCCACCTGTGAATGATTGGGGTGCTGGGGGCAGGGGAACAAGGGGGCACAGCCGGAAAAAGGGACAGATGGACAGAGGGAGGAGAGATTCCAGTTCCGAGGGGCATCCAACACGCAAGGGCGGGAGGGTGCTTTGGCAGCAGCCATGGCAATAGACTGGATGGCTGACTGCATGCAGAGTGACCCACCGGTGAATGATTGGGGTGCTCGGGGGAGCAAATCGAGGTGGTAAAGGAGGGACAGATGGAGAGAGGAAGGAGGGAGTCAAGTTTTGAGGAGCCTCAAACACAAACGGGTAGGAGGGTGCTTTGGCGGCAGCAATGGCAATAGACTGGATGGCTGACTGCAGAGTGACCCACCGGTGAATGATTGGGGTGCTGAGGGGGAGGGGAACGAGAGGGGGACAGAGGGACGGATGGACTGAGGAAGGAGGAGAGAGTCGGGGAGGGGGAAGGAGGGAGGAGTGGTGGGGGGGGAGGAGGGGGCGAGGGGGGGGGGTTTTGAGGAGGGGGGAAGTGGAGAGGCGGGAAGAATTGATTCACCCTGCACAGTTGATTCAAGGGTTGACTCACCCCTCAGAGTTTATGCAAAGGTTAACTCACCCTGCAGAGTGCACACGTGCATACTCCATCAGCTTCTTCGCAGCTTCCTCCTCCAGCTCCACTGCTATTCCCCCTCCACCCGTTCCGCCCTTGCCCCTGCCTCTATCACCACCAACACCAGTCCTTGCCGCAGCACTACCAGCACTCCTAGCACCAGAAGCAGCAGCACCAGCTCCACCACTAATACCCCAAGCAGAAGAACCGCTCCTTTCCGTATCCAGCTCTCTCTCCTTCCGTCGGTGCATCTGCACGATCTGCTGATCGGCGCCCAACGCACATGCCAGCACGGCATGCACCATGGAGTCCCTCGCGAGCAACTGAACCACATCCATGCTCAATGCGTACCGCGGCGCCTCATACGGCGAAGGCACCAGAAGCTTCTCCACACTTCCTAATTCACCCTTGCCCCTTCCACTTTCCGCCCCACTTCCCGAGCCTCCTCCAGACCTGCCTAGCAGTCTGCCTTGGAAGCGCCGAGTCACGGAGCAGAGCTTCAGGCTCGGCACAGGCGGCAGCAGGCTCGGGAGAGCTGCGGGAATGATATCCGCAGGTAGGGAAGCCCGGCCCATGATCTCAGCCACATGGGAAGCAGCAGCGATGTCCCCCCTCACGAACACCAGCTCTCTTAAAAGCTCCACAGGATCGACACTTAGCAAAGAGAAGTAGTTAAAGGGGTGGCTGGGGTCACTGTCGTCTACAATATCCCCGATCTGAACCACATAGTTAAGAAAGACTGGCAGGTATCCCCGGGGATGGTCCCAAGGCTGCTTCCCCGGACCTCGCAGCCCTGCTGCTGTTGCTGATACCGCTCCTGCCGTCCCCCCTCCTTCTCCTCCTGCTCCTCCTCTTTCTCCTCCTCTTTCTCCTGCTTCTGCTCCTGCTCCTGCTCCTCCTCCTCCCCCTCCTCCTGCTGCTCCTGCTGCCCCTACGCCAGGGGCGGAACCAAGAATGGATTGGAGCCCTACAGTCTGCCCGTCTGCTGCTGCCTGCTTGGGGGAGTTGAACGAGAAGGGCCACAGGCTGGGCATGGACGAGCGCGGCACAGGAGGGAGTGGCGCAGACGCCCTGGGAGCTGCACCTGAAAAAGCACCTGAAGAAGCACCTGAAGAAGCACCTGACGAGGCACCTGGAGGGGCAGATACACGTGCTGATGCAGCAGCAGTTCGGGTGCTGGTGATGGTGGTGGTGGTGGTGGCGGGAGGGGGCATGCTGACAGTGCCTACAGAGGAGCGTGACAGTACTGAAAGCTGAGCTGGAGCAGCAGAAGAGGCAGAAGCGGCGGTGGAAGGCAGAGGAAGAGAGCTGGACCTCGCAGACCCCACAGGCAGCATGGAATCCTCTACAAATTCTGCGGCTGCTGCCCCTGCCCCTGCCCCTGCTCCTTCGCCTGCTTCGTTTCTCACTGCTGAATCCGCAGAAGAAGTAGCAGCAACGGTCACAGTGGCAGCAGCAGCAGAGAGGCCACGGCCAGAGGAGGATCGGGTCCATCGAGGAGAGAGAGGGGGGGTATGCACAGGGGTGCCTGCCGCACCCTGCAAGTTTGGTGACATTCCAGCTCCTCCCGAGCCTGTTGCCGAAGCTAGGCCTGCAACCGCAGCTGCAGCAGCCAGCGAGCCTTGGGAATCGGCTCGGGCTGCTACTCCAGGTGCACTTACCGCCCCTGCTCCTCCTCCTCCCCCTCCTCCTCCTCCTCCCCCCCCATGCAACATTCGCCAGAGAGAGAAAGAGGAGGAGGAAGGCGGAGGTGCCACAGAGGAAGCAGCAGCAGCAGCGGCGGCATCAGCAGGAGCAGTTACTGCAGCCCGTGGCTCCCCTCCTGCTGCCTCGCCCCCTGCTACAGCTGCTACAGCCTCGTCTGCCACAGCACCTGCTGCTGCAGCTGGTGCTGCAGAACTCAGCCCAGGAGCACCGGCTGTAGCACCGGCTGTAGCATTGGCTGTAGCATCGGCTGTAGCATCGGCTGTAGCGCCTTCTGTAGCCGTGCCAGCATCGGCTGTAGCATCTGTAGCTAGCTGCTCCGGCATGATCACATCCAGGCCAATGCCAAAGCCAAGCCCACTGCCAGGAGGAGGACACGTGGCAGAGCCTGATTGGCCAGCGGATACAGCTGGTGTGGGGATGACCTGGGGGAGGGTGTCTGCTGGTTCAGGGTCCTCTAAGGCCCTAATGAGGTTGTGCAGCTTGCCTGGAAGGGTTAAGGGGAGAGAGGGTTGGGGAAGAACCATGAGACGTGTCTTTCGAGTCGACTCAAAAGTCACTTCTAAACGGCCCCTCCAATCACACCAAAAAAAGAGAGAGATATACATACCACTGACAAACTGTGCCGCCCCCGCCCCGCCTCGCAGTCCGCCACCACCTGCTGCAGCGCCATCACAGCCCACGCCTTGGGCCTTACCATGCTATTTCAACAGGTGATTTTTGAGTCGACTCAAAAATTACCGTGCTATTTCAATAGGTGATTTTTTAGTCGACTAAAAAATTACCGTGCTATTTCAATTCCATAGAACGCACAAATGATGGGCAGCTGCAGACCTACCACTGACAAACTGTGCCGTGCCCGCCTCGCAGTCCGCCACCACCTGCTGCAGCGCCATCACAGCCCGAGCCTTTGGTCCCCGCCGCACCCCTGCCGAGCCTGACAGGCCCGGGGACGGCGACAGGTGCGGCTGCACGGCGGCCAGCAGGCTCGGCAGCGGCGTGGTGGGGTCCTGATTCTGAATGGCCTCCAGCCGCTGCAGCAGGCGCTCTGCTGTCGCCCATTGGGCCGAGTCTAGGTCCAAGTCTAGGTCTAGGACTGGGATGTTGGTATTATCTCCTTCGCTTTCTTGCTGCTGCTGTTGCTTCACTACTTGCTCCTGCCCCGATGATCCCTTGCCTTCCCATGCCTGCCAAGCCTTCAAAATACAGCGAGCCTGCAACACAGAAAGGGAAAGGTAGCAGATTCATACTGGAATGGGGATGCGAGCAAGACTGGGAGGCAAAGCACCAGCTGTGACGTCACAGTGAGTGATTATAGCACGTGCAGGGCGCTTGGAGATGTCATCCATGTAAGATGGCATCTCGAAGTGCTCGTCGGGAGTAAGAAATCTGTATAAACGCACGTGCTGGAGAGAGGAGGATGGGGCATTCAGGTCACGCCTTACTAAATAAATACTGTGCAATCTGGTAGCGAACAGCTGTAGTTGAGCACCTGCAAAGAATCACCTGGTCCAGGAGGATGAGGGCATCAGGGGCTGTGCGAGCCTGAGTTGTAGCTGCATCCAGCAACACTGCCACCTGGACCAAGCAAGCAGGGTAAGGGGCAGACCAGAGACTAGATCTTAGGAAGAAAGCACGTGTGCAGCAGCTGCTGCTGCTGCTGATGCATCTAGCAGCACTGCCACCTGGAACAAGCAACGTGAGGGACATGAATTTTTAGGAAGAAAAAACGTGCGCGGCTGCTGCTGTTGCTACTGCTGCTGCTGTTGCTACTGCTGCTGCTGTTGCTACTGCTGCTGCTGCTGCTGCTACTGCTGCTGCTGTTGCTACTGCTGCTGCTGTTGCTACTGCTGCTGCTGTTGCGACTGCTGCTGCTGCTGCTGCTGCTGCTGTTGCTACTGCTGCTGCTGCTGCTGTTGTTGCTGCTACTGCTGCTGCTGCTTCTGCTGCTGCTGCTGTTGCTACTGCTGCTGCTGTTGCTGCTGCTGCTGCTGTTGCTGCTGTTGCTGTTGCTGCTGCTGCTGCTGCTGTTGCATGCAGAACACCGCCACAAGCAAAATGCAGCATGATGGAAGAGCGCAGGTTTTACAGCTTCCGCATCCAGGGATTTGCCTGAACTTACCATATCAAGAAACATACCATATCAAGAAACATACCATATCAAGAAACATACCATATCAAGAAACTTACCATATCAAGAAACATACCATATCAAGAGCCGGAAACATTTCCCACATGGCTTGTGAGGGCGCGAAGAAGACCGAGAAGAGTGTATACACTCGCTCGTTCTCCCTCGCTCTACTCTTGCGTTTTGAGGCGGCTCAAAACACCAGGAAAACATACCATATCAAGAAACACACCATATCAAGGGCGGCGAACATCTCCCACATGGCTTGTGAGGGTGCGAAGAAGACCGAGAAGAGCGCATCCACTTGCTCGTTCTCCCTCGCCCTGCTCTCCCTCGCCTCCACACTCCCCACCCTCTCCAACCCCACCCGGCTGCCCGATCCAGGGATTTTCCGTCTCTTACCATATCACAAGCTGGAAACATCTCCCACATGGCTTGTGACGGCGCGAAGAAGACCGAGAAGAGGGTATCCACTTGCTCGTTCTCCCTCGCCCTGCTCTTGCGTTATGTGGCGGCTCAAAACACCAGGAGGGCATACCATATCAAGAAACATACCATATCAAGAAACATACCATATCAAGAAACATACCATATCAAGAGCTGGAAACATTTCCCACATGGCTTGTGAGGGCGCGAAGAAGACCGAGAAGAGGGTATCCACTTGTTCGTTCTCCCTCGCCCTGCTCTCCCTCGCCTCCACACTCCCCACCCTCTCCAACCCCACCCTGCTGCCACTGCTGTCACCACTGCTCCCACTGCCGCGTGCACTCTTAGCTTCCTCACCCTTCCCACTGCTCCCTTTCCCTGTGGCAGTGCTGCTGCGCTGCTGCCGATTTAGCCCGCCTTCATCGTGGCGAGAAAGCCACACAGTGAGCTGCACTTGTGCCTCTGTGTGCACTGCAATGGGGAAGCGGCGAGTGAGCGAGTCGCAGAGAGAGAAGTCGCCCACAGAGAGACAGCTGAAGAGGCCAGGGGAACAGGGGGAAAAAGTCGGGGAAAGGGCAAATGAGAGGAGGGCAAGCCAGGCAGTGAGCTGCACTCTGGCCTCTGTGTTCATAGCCACTGGGAAATCGCCCACAGAGAGACAGCTGAAGGGGACAGGGGAACTGAGGGGAAAAGGGTGGAGGGGGGAAAGGAGAGGAGGGCCAGCCACGCAGTGAGCTGCACTTGTGCCTCTGTGTGCACCGCAATGGGGAAGCGGCGGGTGAGAGAGTCGCAGAGAGAGAAATCGCCCACAGACAGGCAGCTGTAGGGAAAAGGAACAGGGGGAATGGGGGAAAAGGAACAGGGGGAATGGGGGAAAAGGAACAGGGGGAATGGGGGAAAAGGAACAGGGGGAATGGGGGAAAAGGAACAGGGGGAATGGGGGAAAAGGAACAGGGGGAATGGGGGAAAAGGAACAGGGGGAATGGGGGAAAAGGAACAGGGGGAATGGGGGAAAAGGAACAGGGGGAATGGGGGAAAAGGAACAGGGGGAATGGGGGAAAAGGAACAGGGGGAATGGGGGAAAAGGACAGGGGGAATGGGGGAAAAGGAACAGGGGGAATGGGGGAAAAGGAACAGGGGGAATGGGGGAAAAGGAACAGGGGGAATGGGGGAAAAGGAACAGGGGGAATGGGGGAAAAGGAACAGGGGGAATGGGGGAAAAGGAACAGGGGGAATGGGGGAAAAGGAACAGGGGGAATGGGGGAAAAGGAACAGGGGGAATGGGGGAAAAGGAACAGGGGGAATGGGGGAAAAGGAACAGGGGGAATGGGGGAAAAGGAACAGGGGGAATGGGGGAAAAGGAACAGGGGGAATGGGGGAAAAGGAACAGGGGAAATGGGGGAAAAGGAACAGGGGGAATGGGGGAAAAGGAACAGGGGGAATGGGGGAAAAGGAACAGGGGGAATGGGGGAAAAGGAACAGGGGGAATGGGGGAAAAGGAACAGGGGGAATGGGGGAAAAGGAACAGGGGGAATGGGGGAAAAGGAACAGGGGGAATGGGGGAAAAGGAACAGGGGGAATGGGGGAAAGGGGAGATGAGAGGAGGGAGGGTCAGCCACGCAATGAGCTGCACTTGTGCCTCCGTGTGCACGGCAATGGAGAAGCGCTGAGTGAGAGACTTGCAGAGAGAGACACCGAACACAGACAGGCAGCTGAAGATGAAAGGGAACAGGGGGAAGGGGGAAGGGGGAAGGGGGAAGGGGGAAGGGGCTTTAAAGGACTCAGGGCTGACGCAATTTCACCAGGATATGAGCACAGCATATTCCTGACGTCACATAATGAGACCCCACGCTTCAAGTCAATCTCACCAGGAGATGAGGACAGATGGCTCCACTCGCATCCACGCCACCACCTCATGCCATCCCCATGCTGACCAGTCGCTTCGCTCCATCCCCTTCCCCCTCGCCTCTCTTCCCTTCCTCCAGCCTCCCTCCAATTCCCCCTCCTGCCCACCCCCCTTCGCCTTGTCCACTTCCCCCATCTCCTCCCTCTCTCTTAAAGCCCCCTCCCCCTCCTCTGAAGCCTCCTCTCCTTCCACCTGCCTGGCACAAACGCCCAGCCAATCAGCTTTGAGCACAGCCAGCCGCCACTGCCAGTCATCCAGCCAACCGCGCACCACCTGCGCCCGCTGCTTCCAATCAGAAACCAGCACTGCCGCTGCTGCCGCTGCCACGTCAGACGCATGTGCGTCCAGCTCAGCATCCAGGTAAGCAGCAAACTCAGCATCTAGAGCATCAAATGCAACGTCAAACGCATCTGAAACTGCATCGTGATAAGTACCCTCATCTGACAAACGCCCGTCTCCCTTTCCTCCTAGACCAGTCGCCTCCGTCGAATCCTCAACCTTCCTTCCCTCTTCCTCGTCCATCCCGTCCTCGTCCCCCCCTGTCCCATCGCCGCTAGTCAGCCTTCTCTTTCTCCTGAATGACTCACTACCCTGCTCACTGCCACCTTCACGCCTACCACCCCCTTCACGACTACTACCCCCTTCTGGCCTCCCCTGTCCCAGCTGTTTCTCCCCTCTCGCCTCCCCTGATTTTGCTCTTATCATGCCAGCAGGTGCAGCAGCAGGAGCAGTACCAGCAGCAGCAGCAGGAGCAGTACCACCAGCAGCAGGAGCAGTACCACCAGCAGCAGCAGCAGCAGCAGGAGCAGTACCAGCAGCAGCAGCAGCAGCAGCAGTAACACCAGCAGCAGCAGCAGCAGCAGCGGCGGCGGCGGCAGGAGCACCACTGGGAGCGACAGAACCAGCCTCAAAACCACCAGATCCCACCTCCCCCACATCCTTCCGCTTCAACAGTGCCCTTGCCGCCCGCCTGTCTACCCCACTCAAGGGAGACGCGTCCAGCAGGAAAGGACGGGCTATGCCGTGCGCCTCGGAGCCCGGGCGCGGCATCTGCCTGGCTACAGCCGCCAGCAAGAACTCCATTACCACTACAGCCGGGGGTGATGCTGGTGCAGACCGTGCAGATGCAGGGGTGGGAGCAGACACAGGAGCCCTGCTTTGGTTGCCAGTGCTACCTGTGCTGCTAGTGGTAGGCACACCAATACCACCAGCACCAGCATCCAAGTCAGCGGCAGCATCAATATCAGGCTGATCGTCGTCGTGCTTAGACAGCAGCTGAAGCCGGGCCATGGTGGCAGTTGCCAGACAACCCTCATCCGACAACCCCTGGGACTTGCGAGACTTGTGAGACGCCTTGGAAGATTCAGGAATCGGGCCACCCTCTGTGGATGGGTCGCTGGATGGAGAGGCGGATTCGGCGGCGAGCAGAAGCGATCGCACAGTGTGGGCCATCCAGACCTGAGGCGCACGAGGCGGGACACAGGCAGGCAGAAGAGGCGGGAAACAGGCAGGCAGAAGAGGCGGGAAACAGGCAGGTAGAAGAGGTGGGAAACAGGCAGGCAGAAGAGGCGGGAAACAGGCAGGCAGAAGAGGCTTGTGAGAACAGCCAGCTGTCACAACATGGTTTACAACAAGTGCGCTGCCGTGAGGACGTCGGCTGCATGGCGCTCAAACGACTCAACCGCCTCCGTGCCTCACACTCTAACATCCCGATTCCTCCTGCCCTCCCACTGGAGAGGTAACGCCTCACCTAGGGAAGGTCTCACTATGGGAAGGTCCCACCTCGGGAAGGTCTCACCTCGGGAAGGTTTCACCTTGCGTGCTGCCGTGGTGACACGGGCTGCATGGCGCTCAAACGACTCAACCGCCTCCACTGCCTCACACTTTGATGTCCTTGCTCCTCCTCCCGCCTCACTCCCTGCCATGGCTCGCACGGCAGCCTCAGCTGCCTTGGCAGCAAACAGCATGTGAAGGAGCTCCACGTCCCATTGCCTGGGGAGAGAGGAAGCAGGGGAATGGCATACAGCGAACAGAATCTTATCCTAACCTAATCGAAAGCACATCCTGCCCTGTCCCACTCCCTGCCATGGCACATATGGCAGCCTCAGCTGCCTTGGCGGCAAACAGCATGTGAAGGAGCTCCACGTCCCATTGCCTGGGGAGAGAGGAAGGAAGCAGGGAAGAGGTAGCAAAAGAAAAAACGAAGACCAGGGAGAAAAGTGCAGCACTTATGCTTGTGAGCATGCCTTATGCCGTGTTGATCGTGCTTGTGAATGCTCGGTATATAACCTACAGGAATAGAGCCACCAGGCTGTCTGTTGGGCGTTCTTTTCTGCTACAGCCTTCTCCTCTACAGGGCAAAGACGTGAAGCCAAGTCGCCCATCTCACCTGGCAGAGATCCCAGCAAGAGTGACATTGCAGACAGATTTAGAAACAGGCTGAACCATCTCCTCTGGGTGGAAGAAGTGCGCACCCAGAGCCAGCAGCACGTGCAGGAGCGACTGCACCTGCAGCAGCTCTAGCGCCAGACATACAACCTACCCTCTCTACCTCACCTGGCGGATGTCCCACTGAGCGTGCTGTGTTGGGAGACAGGTTGAGCCTTGACTAGCTGAATGATTTCCTCGGGCTGGAAGCAGTGTGCGCCCAGAGCCAGCAGCACGTGGAGGGGCGACTGCACCTGCAGCAGCTCTAGCGCCAGGCGTGCAGTGAACGGGTCTGCTGCTCGAACCATGCGTGCAACCGCCTTGGGGGTCAACACAGACGCTAGATCTGTGGAGGGATGCAGCTGCTGTCCGTGATGCCTGAAGAGCTGATGCTGGCTTTTCAGGTGCTGCTCCTGCTGCTCCTGCTGATGATGCTGCTGCCGCTGTTGGAAGGCAGCGCGGCGAGCAGCCATGAGGAAGGCGAGGTGAGCGTGGAAGATAAGATCGGCACAGCACACGCTAGCATGCTGCAGCTGAGAGCTCAGACTGGTGTCCTGGCTCTCCTCTAAACCAGAGCCATCTTGAGAGGAAGTAGTGTGTGGCAGCAGCACACGAGCACACTCATTGGGCCAGAGCGCCCAGAGAAGGCGCAGGCGGGAGGCGGGGCGCGAGGGGCCTATGAGGTCCCAGGCGATAAGGGTGGTGAGAGGACGGAGAGGGGGGCACAGATGGAGGATCTGACGAGGGGGGGGGGAAGGGGGAGCAGAGAAGGAAGGAGGGATGGGCATGAGCAGCCTGGTGGGATGCGAGGGGCCTATGAGGTCCCAGGTGATAAGGGTGGCGAGAGGGGGGAGAGGGGGGCACAGATGGAGGATCTGCAGGGGAGGGGAGAAGGAGGGAGAAGGAGGGAGAAGGAGGGAGCAGGAGGGAGCAGGAGGGAGCAGGAGGGAGCAGGAGGGAGAAGGAGGGAGCAGGAGGGAGCAGGAGGGAGCAGGAGGGAGCAGGAGGGAGCAGGAGGGAGAAGGAGGGAGCAGGAGGGAGCAGGAGGGAGCAGGAGGGAGCAGGAGGGAGCAGGAGGGAGCAGGAGGGAGCAGGAGGGAGCAGGAGGGAGCAGGAGGGAGAAGGAGGGAGCAGGAGGGAGCAGGAGGGAGCAGGAGAGAGCAGGAGGGAGCAGGAGGGAGAAGGAGGGAGCAGGAGGGAGCAGGAGGGAGCAGGAGGGAGCAGGAGGGAGCAGGAGGGAGCAGGAGGGAGAAGGAGGGAGCAGGAGGGAGCAGGAGGGAGCAGGAGGGAGCAGGAGGGAGCAGGAGGGAGCAGGAGGGAGCAGGAGGGGAAGAGGGATAGAAAGGGATGAGTCCCTCACTAAAGCGTGGGGCTGAACTGAAGCTCGAATGAGTGGCTGACGGCCCATGAAGCTCGACTGAGTGGCTGACGGCCCATGAAGGTCAAATATGGTGAGGCTCCTATACTACCTGGAGCCTCGAGGTGACTCCTGAGTCGACTGAAAACGAGCCGTGTGACATTGTGACGAGGTGACTTTTGAGTCGACTGAAAAGAAAAGTCACCCCATGAAGGTCGCCCCATGAAGGTCGCCCCATGAAAGTCACCCCATGAAAGTCACCCAATGAAATGAAAGTCACCCCATGAAATGAAAGTCACCCCATGAAAGTCACCCCATGAAAGTCACCCCATGAAAGTCGCCCCATGAAAGTCGCATTCCGTGAGGTTCTCATACCACCTTGCTGCAGGTGTTTTTCGAGAATTAAGAAGAAAAACGACTTTGCCCCAGTTTCAGTTTCCCCAGTGGCTTCTTCGCCCTCAAGTCCACTCACGTGGTTGACCTTGGCGAACTGCCCCGCATGCAGAGCAGCCAGAGCCCCCTCCAGCACACTGCCCACCACCACCCGCCTCCCCACCCTCGCATGCTCCACCAACTCCCACACACACCTCTCCTCCAAACTCCCCCTCCATCCATTCTCTTTCCTCCCGTGCTCCCCACCGTCCCTCCTCCCACGGCCTGCATCCTGAGCATCCTGAGGATCAGCCCTGCCTCGTCCCTGCTCTTCAGCTCCTTGGACGCTGGCCTCGCCTGCTGCTGAGGTCATTCTTCCTTGCCCTGGTTTATCACCCAACAGCAGCAGCGCATGCAGGGCCTCCAACGGTGGGGCGATGGGCGAGTGGTGGGCAGACAGCTGCAACTCTCTGTGAATGTAATCGTCCCATGTGGCCTGGACAAACGAGGCACGGGTAGGGAGAAGCACCGAGGGGAAGGTCGAGATTTCAGGGAAGAGGTCGCGTAGGTGCTGGAGGTCGACCATGAGTGATATGCCTGTAGGGGGGGGCACACCACTCGTGCGAGGGGAGAGTTAGAGATGGGATGCAAGCCCAGGCACCAAATTCAAGTATCAATTGACACCATGCGGTCGTATTTGGGACCTAGCGTAACGAGCCCAATGGGCTTAGCGTTCCATCAGGGACAGCTAGAGTTTTCCTAGGCCTGTGCCATCAGGCCCTGAAACAGTTTTGAGTGTGCCATCAGTACCTGAAACAGCTCTGAGGCGCCTCAAAACTTAGGCCTGTGCCATCAATACCTGAAACAGCTTGATGACGCGGGCTGATCCCGACCCCAGCAGCTCCTGGACGGCGATTTTCGTCTCTTCCGCCCTCACTGCCATCCAAACAGGGGCTCTTGTAGGACTGAGTGGCAGTTCAGCTGGGCTGCATGGCGCTTGGCCGGGCACCGGAGAAGTGCATGGCGCTTCTTCAGGCACCGGAGGGCGCAGTGCGAGGACCAACTGGTGGAGGGCGGACCTGCAGGGAAGAGACGTGCAGAGAAATGGCAAGGAATCATTCATTCAACCTGCGGAATTCTGGCACTTGGCTAGGCACCAGGGTGCGCAATGCGAGGACCAACTGGTGCAGGGAGGACCTGCATGAAGGAGAGAGGGAGAGGGTTGGCATTGACTTCTGTTAGCCTGCTGCGTTGAAGCATGACAAACGAATACGCTGAGGGATCCTATTTGGTGCTCTCACCTGTTCCAACACTCCGTAATCCGCATTCAAGCACCGCAAATGGGCCGTTTCTCCCCTTACATGCCGTGAGGCGCCTGGACCATCCCCCCCGTACAATGCACTGCATTCTCAGTGCTCACCTGTACTGCTCCTCTTCCACTGCCCCATAATCCACATTCAAATACCGCAAACGAGCTGCTGCTCCCCGTATGTCCCCTGCCTCCAGCAGAGATGCCACCGCCCCCAGATGAGCCCCCTGCACCCATCTCACAGCTGGCACTCCTGACGGCCAAGATTTGGAGGGTAAATTACCCTCGCTCTCATGCCCCTCGCTATCTTTCATCCTCCTCCTCCTTCTCTGCCGCAGAACGTTCCTGCAGAGCTCGTCCAGGATCTCCGGGTACTCCCCAACGACCAATGAAACGCTGGCACGTGTCACATCAGAAATGATTTCAACATTGCCAGGCTCCCACTCCGCTGAAGCTTCCTCCCCCCCTGCTGCTGCTGCAGCTACTGTTGACACTCCTGACTCTGCCTCTTTCCCTCGGTCACTGGCACTGCTCCTGCTCCCCACCACCAGCGGCCTAGTGGGGAGTCCCCAGGCAGAGCGATCATGCAGAAGCTTCACAGCAGCTCGCACCTCCTCCTCTCTCCTCCTCCTGCAGTCTTCCCCTGCCTGCACTTCCCCTCCTGCACCTGCTCCAGATGAGCCCTCCACCTCTCCAGTACGCGCTATAGAGGGATTGGTTTGCTGAGCTGCTGCCGATTCATGCACCTTGAGTGAGATCTCCGACAGGTACAGGTCGAATTCCGCTTCATCCACCATCACCCTCTCCTCCTCCACGCTCTCGCCTGTGCCCCTCCGCCCTCGCTCCTCTCCTTCTTCCTCCTCCTCTACCATCCTCGTCCCCTCCTCCTCCCCCTCATTCCCCTTCCCCCCCCCACCCCCCTCCTCCCTCTCCTCCTCTTCCCGTTCCTCCCCTTCTGCTCCATTCCCCGTCCAATCATCTCGTTCGGAGCCTCCTCTCCTGGCTGCTCTCGCCCAATCAGGTGTCTTCCCTCTTGGCCTGTGCAACTTGCACAGCTCCCGGTATTCCCCAACGCACAGCCACGTCAGATGGGCGGCGGATGGGACAGATGCCGACCACACAGCCCCAGGAATCTCACCCCCCGTTACAATCACCCTCCTTAGCAGAGAAATCGCGCGGGAAGGGCTGAGCCGTGCTAGGTCCCTGACAGCCGCTCTAGCGAGCTCGAACTGTGACAATACCAGATGGTTCGCCACCAGCCGCTCCAGCAGGCTGAGCTCATCTTCCAAACCGGATGCGACTATATCAGGAGCCTGGAGAATGTAACGAGGGGTTTCTGACAGGAATTCGGAACCAGCACCAGCACCATCAGCAGCAGCAGCAGCAGCAGCAGCAGCCAAAGACGGTCCTGCTTCATGCTGCTCACTACCTCCTCTTCCTCCTCCAGCTATTCTAGAATCAGAAACCAGCCTGCCGATACTATTCTCAGAGTCTTCTTCAAGGACCCTGGCGTTAATAGCCCCACCAGAATGGTCAGGAGCTCTACTAGGCTTGACCTCCAAAGCGCCATCAGCAGTACCTCTTTCCGCATCTTTCACGCCAGATTCTGCTCTCTCTGCGCCGCCTTCAGCGACGCTTCCTGGTCGGACTTCTGGGGTGACCGGACCAGTAGGCGTCGCTGCTGCAGCCGCTGCTGCTGCCGCTGGGGGTACCGTGGCTGGTCCCACGGCTGCTGGTGTTGCTGCTGTCGCTGCCGCTGACGCAGCTGCAGATGATGAAGCTGGTGACCCATCTACTGATGGCAGCACCGACGGATCGGATTCTTCGACGATTTGATCCCCTTCGCCGGCGGGAAACTCGTCTTCGATCTTCGCCAGACGCGGCTTTCGCCTACGGCTCCACATCCTGGGGATTCCACGAAAACTAGTAACCTCTAGTCACGAAATTATTATAGAATTCGCCCAAACATCCTCGCGATTCTTCTTGTCGAGCTCCCGCCGCGTGTCGTCCTGGAGACTTTCGCAAAAAAAGGTTTGCCAGAAAGTGTCCGTTGTCTTTTACCTCTGAGCAGTTTTGTGCATGTCTGAATCCGAAACCAGGCCAGAAAGCTGACTAAGGGGGTGCTAAGGCTGATCCGTCAGCTCCTCTTACACACCTAAAGCTCCCACTCTCACTCCTCGCCTGTGATTTGGCGGCAGAACCGCATTCTGGCTGACAGGTTGCCATGCCTGTCCGCCGTATACTGTACGCTCAGCAATTTGGGAATTCCCGAGGCTCCCAGTCATCTTCGATATAGCAGGACTACAACCATGGCGTATGAAGTGTACTTATAGAGGCCCAACTTCCCAGCCTTCTGTTGCAACGTAATCCATATTTGTGTCTCAAAAGTTATTCTACGCCATAGCCCAGCGGACTACGCCAGAAGGTCAAACTCAAAGCTCCAGGACTAGAAGTCAACACCATTAAAAGGTACGGTTGTCTTGATCTGAGTATTGTTAAGTAAATTTGGAGGCTGAAATACAATGCCTGGCTGTTGCTGTTATTGCTGTTGTTGCTGTTGTTGTTACTGTTGCTGTTGTTGTTGCTGTTGCTGTTGCTGTTGCGGTACTTGCTGTGGTTGCTGATACTGCTGTTGCTGTACTTGCTGTGGTTGGTGAGCAGGAGAACGACCGAAGATATAGAAGGGATGCTGAAACTGCTGCGACTGCGGCTGCTGTACGAAAGGTGAGAAGGCAAACGAACCAGTGTTTGGAGCTGTAGCTCCACGCATGTAGCTTGAGCCGTCAAGGCTCATTCCACTGAACGCAGATGAAATTGATTGCGTTGTAACTGGTGGCTGTACAGATGCTTGTTGCTGTGTTGTTGTCTGTGATTGTTGCTGTTGCGTTGCAGGTGCAGTCGATGGAGCACCTGGAGTATTCACAGAAGGCGGATTCTGCATACCGATATTAGCGTAGGCTGGTGGAAAGTGCCCAGAGGCTGAGAGACCAGCGGCGGTAGTGGAGGCATGTGCTCCAGTAGTCCCAGTAACTGATCCAGCAGATGGTGCTGGTGTTGGACCAATCATAGTTGATGGTAGTCTTAATTCCAGATAGCTCTCATACCATGAAGTAAATCGTCTGGTGTTGTAATAGACTAAGTATAAAACTATAAACACGAACACTTGGTAAATCCTCAAGTGTTGGTCCAGGATCTTTGCTGGAATGGTAGACTAGTAAGACAGCGGAAGTCTTGTAAAATGTAAAGGTCAAGGTTGAATAACCTGAGTATGTGAACTTGTGGGTAATCAAAGTTAATAATGAAAAGACCTGACAGAGATTTATAGTTCTACGAAAAGTACCTATTCGCTAATGTACCTGTTCGTCACTATCGCGCTATGCGCCCTAGATGATAATGAAGAGGTGCGACTATTCGCGTGACTGAAACGACTGTCCTATGACGAGCGCTATTTGCTGACGTCATCCTACGGACTTATCTTCTACAGTATGGTTCGACACTAACTACACTTAATCGACTTACAGAAATGCTAAGTACCAATTATATCACAACAGAAACCACGGTAGCTAACCCTGACCCTCTACTTCGACATGGAACATTCCCCACACACTCACTCGCGTGTGTGTGGGCATGGTGCCCAGCCGCACGCCTTGCAATAGGTCCCACGAGACATAATTAGTCATGTGCTTGTCTTGGAAGACCTAACCATGTACCTATACAATATGAAAAATTTTAAAGCATTTACGCTTTCAAAGGTCGCCCGCACCGAGAAGCAGCCAGTCCTTGCTGCTCCAGCGAACGCCAACCCCGACAGCGACTCCAACGATGAGGCAGGCGAGGCACCTACTCACAACAATTTTTTTCGCACCCACCGAACACCTCCCTCCTCTTCCTTCCTCTAACCCCAATATCTCGGCTTCCTCCTTCGCCAACGTCGGGGTACGCGAGCAAGCGGAATTTTTGGAAGACCTGCGGGCATACCTGAAGCACGCCGAGCACAAGCTGCGCCATAGTGACTCCGCGGTCGCGCTCGAATACTTCGACGAGGCGTACGCGCTCATATCCAATCGCTTCGAGAGCTCATCCAAGTCGCCGATGCCTCCGACTTCAAGACGGCAAATCGCTTCAAGCTCTACCAGCAAAAGAGTGTGCTTACCTCTCGCCCCTTCAAGCAGGCAGTCGCTGATGTAGCGGCGATGAAGCGTGCACGAGCCCCCTAGGACCACGGCAACTCCGTTAGAGGTCATGGCCCGATGGGCTTCGGCGGCAAGAATGGCGCCCCACCGAGCGGCGACCAGCAAGGCTTCCGAGGCGCTTGTTTCCGCTGTGGCCAGCTAGGTCACACGGCGAACACATGCTCTTACGGTGGGCATGGTTCCCAAGGGCCCGCACCCGTGGTGTGAGGGGCGGAGAGTTCAATTGGGTGGACCTTGGAGAGGTGCCACCGCACCACGAGGTGCTTGGGGCCGCTGGCCACTCCTCATGTGGGGTGTAGAGTGAAGGGCCGCTGGCCCAAGCCCTGTGGGGGTCGTATGGCAGGCCTAGGGCCGAGCCCCAAACCGGGCGGATGGTGGGACTCAGTACCCTTGTTAGGAACCAAAATAGGCGGCCCCTTTGGGGTGCTCGTTCTCTGTTATGGTATGAAGCAAGTCCCTATATGAGCAAGGGGTAGGTCACACACCTCATTCTCGCAGCCTATACCATTGGCATCTCAGGCTGATTTTTCCTTCACAGCCTTGGGAGACCCCATAGTAGGATTACCATGGGAATGGTTTTTTTTGTAATTGGGTGATTGATTTCCCTTTTTTTTTGGATTCAAATCCCTTATGGGAGCCTTATTTGGTTGGCATGTTCCCCTCTCAAGGGGCAAAAAGAAAGAAGCAAAAAAAAAAACCGCATCTTGTTCAAACTGCTACATCCAACGCTCACCCTTGGGGGATGGCCGCGCCGAAAACAGTCATGGCCAAAGCATGCACAATGCCATTTTACTTGAGCAAGTCAAGGAAACCAGCGCTAAGATTCTAGGCTAGCAATTGCATGCTCATGAAGCCTACGCAACCATGCGCGAGATAGCATGCATAACAGTGCACTAAGCGCGCTAGAGGAGGAGAGAGATAGGGAGAGGGAGAGGGGTAGAGAGAGAGAGAGAGAGAGAGAGAGAGAGAGAGAGAGAGAGAGAGAGAGAGAGAGAGAGAGAGAGATAAAGAGAGAGAGAGAGAGAGAGAGAGAGAGAGTGAGAGAGAGAGAGAGAGAAAGAGAGATACAATAAGAGAGAGAGAGAGAGAGAGAGAGAGAGAGAGAGAGAGAGAGAGAGAGAGAGAGAGAGAGAGAGAAAGAGATACAGTGAGAGAGAGAGAGAGAGAGAGAGAGAGAGAGAGAGAGAGAGAGAGAGAGAGAGAGAGAGAGAGAGAGAGAGAGAGAGAGAGAACAAGAAAACCGCGACGTGGCAAGCAACGGAAATCGTGACGGAGACCTTTGGAATGGGAAAGTGGGGGGAAACAGGAGGGCAGCCATCTGGCTCCCACCCCCTCCCCTGAACACTGTTGTTAAAAAAAAAAAAAAAAAAAAAAAAAAAAAGAGCATATACGTATGGGCCGCGCTTTGGGCGACTTCAAGGTTTTCTTCTGAACACTTTCGCATTATGCTTTCCTCTTTTATTGGAATCTAATTGCAGAAGCGTTGGTGCTCCATTGGGGCCACATCGATGACCCATTTGAATACGCAGTCACGGATCGAATGGTTTCCACTATGCGTGGCCGCCTGCACAACGCGTTGGCCTGGTGGCGTTCGTGGTGTACAAGTAACCTGATGCTGTCCATCATCGACAGAGGGTACTGGATGCCCTGGAAGAATGCGCCCCCAAAACCTTTTCGGAGAACTAAACACGCGGCAGCACACATCCACGCTGAGTTTATGCGGACAGCTATCGCTGATCTCCTCCAGACAGGTGCGGCCGTGGAGGTGTCCGAGGCAACGCTCACATGCGTTAGTCCTCTCAACGTGGTAGAACAACGAGAGAAATGCCGACTCATCGTGGACCTGTGAAATGTCAACCAAGAATGACAAATTCCGAGATTCAAGTACGAGGGACTCGCCCGCGTCGCAGAGTTGGCGCGCACGGGTGACTGGATGTTCTCAATCGACTTGAAGTCGGGCTATCACCACGTTGACATTCATCCATCCTGTTGGAAATTTTTGGGATTCCAATTCGGAGGGCGCTCATACTGCTTTCGCTCCCTCCCATTTGGACTGGCGACGACATCTTTCATCTTCACTCAGCAGATCACGCAGCTTGCACGCCGGTGGAGAGCTCAGGGAGCGCGTGTTATCCCGTACGTGGACAACATTCTTTTCCTTTGTCCCACGGAAGCCGAGGTGGTGGACACCTGCAACCGAATCATCACCGACCTTCGTAATGTGGGCCTCGTGATCAACGCAAAAAAATATCATCTTCGTCCAACCCAACAGCTGCGATTCTTGGGCTTGGAGCTCGACACTAAGCTCGGCCAAATTTCAATTGGCACGGAACGACGCGACATGTTGCACTCCACTATCCGCTCGCTCCTAGAATCGGGGTTTAAGCAGCGCACTGTTCCCGTCCGGCAAGTCACGCGCGTCACGGGCATGCTCGCTTCCATGACACTCGCTCTCGGTGCAATGGCTCGGGCTTTCAGCCATGCCTTACTGCAAACCATCAACGGCGCCTCATCATGGAACAGCAAAGTTGTGAGAGTATGACCCCGTTACACTTCTTTCTCATTTCCACCGTTCTCCTCTATCTCATTCTCCTTTTTCTCCTAATTCATTTGGTCCTTATCTCATCTCATTTGGATTCCTATTCCTCATTTTCCATTATCCTTTAGTTTATCCAATTATTCTTACTATATCACCGACCAGGCTCGGGATGTACTTGCGCGTTATATCTAGCGTAATCCTGCCGTAATCCCTTAAAGCCAATAGCCTCGCATGGCTATATGCAGGGTGATTCTATTTTTACAAGGGTCTATTTCCTTTGGATAGGATAAACCCGGTTACGTGATGTACCTTGGAAGTATAAAAGAGCCTTGTATCAATCGATAGTGCAACTTTTCCTCGACATATTCGATCTAGTGACAAAATTACTGCTATCGCCTACTGCATGTAAAGAGTTGGATTTTTGGGCATCAGAGTTTGACACCTTCAACGGCGCCCCCTTCCACGTGCACG